CCCCGCCTTAGATCCCTCCATGGATTCACTGCTGCATCAAACAAATGCCCAGGATTAGCCAAAAAAAATCTGAGAAATGTAAAATTAATGACTGTGACAGTAACACAAAACATTACAAGTAGATGGAAAGAAGGGAGATGTGGAACTATAAGTTCAAAACGCTGGATGTGCAGCGTAGGAACCTGTATTATAAAGGTTAACATGTCATGGCTTGAAAGGTCCGGAGATAACGAAGGTGAAATTTGATTCCTTTTGGTCAATTTTTACGGAGATGGGACTCGATATTCTCCGGACAAATCTGCAGAAAAACAGAAATCCGTTTGCAAACTCATAAAGTTTTTTTTTTCTTTTTTTTGAAGGCAGGGGAGGGGAGGGGGAAGAGTAAAGGAGCACCGTTAATTTAAGAAATGAGTACCAAACGAAACAAGAGAAATTAGTTAAAATTCATACCAAGTTGTGGTTAAATCGATAAAGTTGATAACTTTCGTTAAGAACTCCTTGCAAAAGACCTGGACGTTCAGTGTACATTTCAAGTGCAAGTAAAATCTGATCCTCATTCCTATCACCAGCAACCTGAAACATCAAAAATCATCATAAACGACTGATTCAAGCGATAATCACAACTGTTTCAAAAATCCTTATCCCATCGTGATGCGGCAACGGGCTAGGCAGTGAAGATAAGTTTTAGAGGATTTATAACTCAATTACATGGCTGAAGAGCTTGGTAGAAGTGTCCTGTTTACCCCGGGCAATATCTGATTTCAATATTAAGAGATTAGTAATTTTGCTGACCGAAAAATCCATGTAGTTCGTTTTTAGTTCTCTTTTTGTTGCCAGGAAATATTTGCCTATAATTTATTACCAGCACATGGCGACAGTTATTATCCAGTTTTGAAACAGTAGAATAGAGGGATTGGACTTAAGTGTCATGTGTAAGACATTTTACGATGCAGTCTGTCCATGTTTCATCCCTAAGCTGTAAACACGGACCGAACTTTGCATGCGCGTAGGAGCAGGAATCATCAGTACAGCCTCCCACCCGCCATGTATTGAACAGTCATGTAACTAATTTGCAAGATGGACATGCGAAAGAAATAGAACAAGCAGGATAAGAGAGGAGAGAAAGAAGAGGAAGTTAACCGATGATACGGACAATCATTATATGTCAGTTATGAGGAAAAGCTTTTTATAAGAGCGTGCCAACTAGGCGTTTAATATTTTCATTGGATGAGATATCAGTACCAAGACTACCAAGGCTTTCATGACAATTCTCGAGAATCCCATGTTAGTGATGTTACTGGGATGCACCCACATGCCCCACGCAGCTATACCAGGTCTTCCAATCCTAGGCTGCATATTTTCAACCTGGCACCTGCTTGATTTATGTTTGTGAAATAATTCTTGTTAGCAAAAAAAGAACATGAAACAAGTTAAAAATTTCACGTGAAAACAAAAAAAAAGCTCACAGCTAGTGCAGGAATTTCGGCGAAATGTGAAGCATTATCACAATTGAACAAGCCTAAATAATCGAGCGGTTCTCTCAGGCAACGTAATCCATAAATATCGGATCTGATTGTGGCAACCCTGCAACACACACACATAATTAATTTAGCGCAAAATCCTTAGGGATTTTACTTTACACCACTATCAGACTATTGGTGGATTCCGAGGGGGAGGGGGGCCTTCTATCCTCTCCCCTCCCAGCCGCGCAGGTAGCAGTGCTAAGGCTAAAGAAAACTCTTTTCCGTGCTCCCCGATGGCCCCCTCCCCCGCCTCTAGGAGGCCGTGCTGGATCCGCCTATTCATGAAACTACTTTTAATAAAATCGGCCTGGGGAGCAACTATTAAAACTCGGCTCGTCTTGGTTCAGCAGCGCAGTGCGCACTCATTTTGGGTTCAGGTTCAAGCTGTGGATTTCGTGCTACAGGATTTTTTTGCGCAGGTAGGATTTTAGGTGCCACGTGCAAGAATGTTAACTTTCCCTCAGCATGAAGAAAGTTTCATGCCGAACATGAGAAACCTACATGAATCCTTCCCCTCACAAACCCTCCTCCGTGTTTCCAATTCCCACCTCAAAACAGGTCCTCACTCCCCCTCCATTTAATAACCCCAATCCCTTCCCCTCATTAAAATTCTCGAGACCTAAATCACCGTCCCCAGCCTTAACCCCTTTCCTTGCCTCCAGCCCTCTATCTCCACAATCCGGTTTTTCTTTACACTCGCCTTATGACCAGTCGAGCCGAGTTCTAGTAGTTGCCGATCAAAAAAATGTCCCAATTTCGATACAAAGAGAATTCAAATGCTAAAGTTGATTCTTAATTTGCTAGATTTTACCCGTTTGAAGGTCGATCGGATGCAGTTGGCGGTGAAGCA